TACATCCTTGCTGCCCAAGCCCTCTTATCAGGCAAGCCTGGAGGGATGCAATGATGAGACGAAGCTCCATGCGACTCGAAATATGTTTGGGCAAGCTTCCTCAGGGCTTGGGGCTTTGGGTGGGGTGTTCCTGGACCCCCTAGATACACATGATGAAGGCCTCAGTAGAAGGGGCCAAATCCCCGTTTTTGTGTACATCTCACCCAAAGCCCATCTAGAACTTTTCGGATGCTCATTGATGTTCTTTGTTCATTGAAGTTCATTGTTTTATGGGAGGGCCCATAAATGGATTTTTTTGGCGGTGTGATCCAGGTAGCCCTGGACATCTACTCCTCAGCGCTGCAGGATGCCCCGGAGGATGTGAGCCGGCGGTTTCCAGATTCATCGCCTGTGGACTTGGGGGGCATAGGCTTTGTGGGCGAAGAGTATCTTTTTGTAAAGCGTGAGATCGAAGACTTCGCATATCAGTCTTCGGGTTTAACGATGGACTACTACCGCACCTACAATGCCAGCCTCTCCCATGCTAGCTCCATGCGCGCCTTGTTTGACAGCATTGAAGATGTACTCTTGCCGGATCTGGTAGCCTGTGATACGCCTGGGACGAACTGGGTTCACAACGGGAGACTTTCAGACTATGTGCGGTGGACGGGAGACCTTGCAGGGGTCCAAGTGGTACCAGGGGAGACCAGTAATTCCTCAAGGTACGTGCCTGGGTTTAGCTTCAGCAGCCTTTTGCCTTCGAACAGTTCTGCTGCCTCGTGGAGCGCCGTCTGCAGGGTCTGAAAGTGCAACTTAGGTGGCCAAATGTCATCTTAATCATTGGTGGCCAGCCCCTACATGCAGGGAGGACGTCTCGCAGTGCATCCCTCTGCTTACGAGTGGTAGCTATGGCTGGCTCCTCCCATCTTTCATGCATCGCTCGGCGGCATATGCCCTGCCAGTTGCCCTGGGCATTATCCCAGACTTTGGCCGCTACTGGGTTGCTGTTAAGGAACTTCAATTAAGTTACTATATTGGGGAAACCCTATTATTTACTATATATACCCATTATGGTAACTTAATTTACGTTCCTTAACAGCAACCCAGGCTACACCTATTATGTGAATAACCTCAAGGTGCTTTTCTACTGGTGGATCCCTGATGGGACCTTCATCGCCATGAACCCTGAGGTGGCAGTTTTTGGTCTTGGGGGACCCTAATCCGACAAGAAATGTGAGCGGATGTCACTTTGGCCTAGGGTAGTGCTACTTAAGCGCAACATGTTTTATAAGTTGTATAAGGGCTGGAATCCCCTCCCGCAGCATACATCTTTCCTGCAATCTGTTTGAACCCGCCCTTTCGAGAGGGGTTTTCTTTCTCCAAAGCCCAGGGCCCTCTAAGCCCGAAATGCCCATCCTGTTCCGAAAGATTTTCAGTCCCAGCATCCAAAACCTCAGCACCACAGAAACCTCAGCGCTAGACCCGACACTCGGGATTCCATTTCTTGCCCCACACCTGATGCAGTCCTTCATGCTTACAATGTGCCTTCTTAAGAGTCGTAATCCCTAGCATCCCCACTTTTTAGGCATGGCCAAATGCATCTCTCAAAAACCTTAGGACGGTAACTATCATTACGCTCTGCAAGCCTCAGCTTGGACGCCTTAAACCCCAAGCAGGTAGAAAAGTTACATATGGTAGTTTCCCTAAATAGGGGGACCCCAACATACTACATATAGTCTTTATTGTTGGAACCCCCATAAAGGTACCGCATATTTCCGGAACCCCCCCACATAATTCGGAGTCCTTTGCAATCAAACTTTCAGGGGGGTAGGGAACAAGGGAATACATGCTATAGGGCTGATAGGGATCACATTCCCTTATGCCCTACTTTGCCCTAAGCCCTAAACCCCAATCCCCAAGTAAACCTCAATCCCTATCTCCTAAACCCTAAGCCCTAAACCCTAAACCCTAAACCCTAAACCCCAAACCCTAAACCCCAAACCCTAAACCCTAAACCCTTCTATCCCTTCAGCTCTTGACCTCCCAAGCAAAAGGTCATCCTCTTCCCGCGCTTCAGTGCCGCCGAGTGGGCGGAGGGCAACCGGAGGACCGAGCCACCTTCGACCCAGGCCGGGCTCCTTCTCTTACGGTTTGAGGGTTTAGGGTTTA